CATAAAGTGTGTGTGTGTGTGTGTGTGTGTGTGTGTGTGTGTGTGTGTGTGTGTGTGTAAGAAAAAAAAGAAATGAGCCACACATGGCAATGCATGCCTGTAATCCTGCACATGGGAAGATGATCCAAGAGGATGGAGAGTTCCAGACCAGCCTGCTATACACAGTAAGAACCTGTCTCAAAATAAGAAATTTGGGTTTATTTAAAAGAAAATATATGAATCAGAGAGATGGCTCAGAGGTTAAGAGGACCTGGGTTCAATTCCCAGCAACCACATGACAGCTTACGCCTGTCTGTACTTCATACCCTCTCTGGATACCAGCCACCTAGTGTGGTGCACAGACATGATGCAGACAAAACATTCATACATATTTTTTAAAAAGGAGGAAGAGGAAAAGCTAGGCATAGTGCCACAGCGTTTAGTCCCAGAACTTGGGAGGCAGAAGCAGTCAGATCTCTGTGAGTTCAAGGCTAGCCTGGTCTACATAGTGAGATCCTGTCTCAAAAACAACAACAAAAGGATAAAAGAATAAATAATTTTTAAAAAGAAAATGTAAATGGCTTCTGTAGTTTATGTTAAATGAAAAGCAGTTTAATTAGTCAGAAAACATGTGACTGACAAAATATAAACTGGCAGTAAAGAGTTACAAGCAACTACAGACAAGAAGGAGGCATTATTCCATACTGTGGCATGAGAGATCAATGGAGAACTGTAATAACGGCACAAACCAAGCCAACAATTCAGGCGTGGTGGCACACACCTTTAATCCCAGGACTGGGGAGGCAGAGGCAAGAAGAGTTATATGAATTTGAGGCCAGCCTGGTCTATACAGTGAGTTCCACGACAGCCATGGCTACAGAGATAGAGAACCTACTCAAAAGCAAATAAATCAATCTTTGGGGGCCTGGTGTAGTAGCTTCTGAGCCAGCCTAGACTCTCTTTCCAAAAAGAAAATAAGTAAAATCTACAGAGCTGAGTGATGGTGACACAGTACAATGGCAGAGTGCTCACCTAGTATGTGTGATGCCCTGACTCAATCAATCCCCAATGTGCCAATTAAAAAAAAATGCATTTTTAAAATATGAAACTGGGACTGGCCCAATGGCACGAAGGCAACCAGCAAACAAGGCTAACAACTTCAGTTCAGTATTCAGGACCTGTACAGTGAGAGAGAGAAAACTGATTTCACAGTTCTCCTGACTTCCATTCATGCAACATGACACAAATGCACATGTGTACTCGAGCAAAGACACACACACACACACACACACACACACACAAGAGCTCACTGCCTATACAGTATGCAATTAATAATTAATATAATTTAATAAAAGTCTATAGGACTGAGTGAGAGTAGAAATCAGTGGTAGAATGTTTGCTTAGCATGCAGCAATATAAATAAAAGTAACAACCTATATTCCAGATTATTTCATGTAGCTCTGGCATGTGTGTCAACCTGCAACACCATGAATAAGTGACATATCTGGAGGGTCCCCACTACAGATAATCAGAAATGCTTTACAAATTTTCTGCTGGCGAAAGTCAGCCTGCCAATTTCTGAGATTAAAATATAGTCTGCCCATCATCTCCCTTTCCTTTTCAACTCTCCTACAAGTCCTAAGAAGGTGCCCTCTATTGTCTCCTCCTTCAGGGTGGACTCAGAGATAGGGAATGAAACATGTAGGGACAGGGGCTGGGATCCTGCTCATGCCCAGAGAAGTGTTCAAACAAGAAAAGGGAGGCTCCCTTCCGGTAAGTGTTGTTTTATCTTAAATACCTTTCCAGTCTCTGGGCTGTTCCCAGACACGGAGAGACTTGCTCACCCTCCAACCTGCAGCACCAGCGCTGGTCTAACACCTTTCTCCCCTCAATGCAAGCACCGGCCAAATCACAGGCTTCACTACCAACCATACAACCTTGTATTTACAGCTCTCTGCTGCTTTTCGCAATGGGAAAGCTTTCTCCTTCTTAGAAGGCAGTCCCTGCACATGGCTCTGTGACGTTTTGTTGACATTTTTAAGAGATGTCCTCTAGCAGGCTCAGAGCTCCTTGAACGCTGGCACAGCATCCTGCTCAGCTCTGTATTCTCTGCAGAGAAGGCACAGGATACAGCAGCTGGGCAGCATGCAGACACCATGAATTAGAGAACCAACAAGGCTATTCAGAACCGTGGCACAAATGCAGTGTTGTCTTAGAGGGGGGGAAACTATTGTGCATCACAACTCAGACATCTAAATCATTCAGACCCCATAGCTATATCACAGCTAGAGATAATGGTCCTACTTAGATATATGACTTCAAACAAAATACTTAATCTTTCTGAGTCCAAATTTTCCATTCTATCAAACCAAAAAGGGGAGGGGGATCAAATCTGCCTGTTTTACCACATCAAGGTTAGTGGTACTCAAATGACAGAGCATAAGAAAAGTATTACACAACAGACGATCGATCAGACAGATTTAAACAAACAATTCTCACCAAGCCCCATTACACCATAGGGGTGAAGTCCAACAGAGCGTAATGTCAATAGATGACACAGGTCAATCTTGAGAAAATATCAAAACGGGGACTACGTTAAGATTCCTACCCAATTCATCTACCAAATTCTTTTGTAAATTAGGTTTCTAAATGGTTCTCCAGACACTTTCAGGCTGTTAATGCAGGACAGTGAGCAAGCAGGAACAGCTGGCCCATCACACAGGTTCTGCAACACCTCTGCGGCAAACAGCCCAAAGGAGGCCAACCTGCATCTCAGCAGAGCAGCTGATCTATAACCAAAGCCTGCAGCAGAACACATGCACACAAAGAAAATTCTCTACCAGTAGTTTGCTCAGACTCTCCCCATCTTTAGGGCCAGCTACAGCCCGAACCTAAGAAAAACAGCATGGAAAGACTGAATGTACCACATCATGACAAACACAAAGGCTTAAAAAAAAAAAAAAAAAAAACAAGGTTTGTTTTTGTCAGAATGGTAATTATAGAGAAAAATGTTTTTTTTTAACAGAAAGGTTAGTTCAAAATATGCTGCAGATGTCAAACACCGCCACAGATTTGAGGACCCCCTGCTGATGTCACAAACACCACCACAGATTTGCGGGTCCCTGCTTTATTTTAACTTCACTTGAACTCCGAATAGCACCAACCATCTGTGTACTTGAAGCAAGACAGACAGATGGCCAATACGCTGACATTGCAAGCTCAAGGTTTCTCAACTGTTATTTCCTTCTAGAGCGCAAAGGAATAAAATGCAGGGTAAGGCAGTACAAATCCTTAAGAAATAAATTTAAACTAAGTCATGTGCCAATCAAAACATCCTGCATGGAAAAATAAACCATTTCCTTGACCTTGAAATGTTTAAAGTCTGACAAGTCCCAGTTTCTAAGACTTTCACACCTTTCTCAGAGAGTAGGTCGAGCTAATCAGTAGTGGATCCTAGAAATAGTTCTTTCTAAAGATGTCTAGAAACACCCAGAGCTGTAAACACTAATCATGTGGGGCAGATCTACACCAAGAGGAGCGCCCAGGACTTCCCTTTCCTGGTGAAAGCCATCAGATTCTATTTTTAATCTCCCCCCTCATGCAAACATCCAGCCAAACCTCCCTTTCTGGCTAATGAAAACGACAGCTAATTTATTACTAAAGAATAAATAAATTTCGTAAAAGATTTTAATGGGATTCTTCAGACTTAATGACAACATTTCACAAAAGGGTGACAAGGAAAAAGAAAACACATTTTAACAAATTGCTTCAACTGATTTTTTTTTTACCTGGTGAGTATTTTGACCAAAGTTATCACTGGGCAACCAGCCCAAAGGATTCCTATCTTCCTAAACACTTCCCAACTGATTAATTGAAAAATAATATGTTGGTAATTACGTGCAGGTGAAAACAGCACCACCCTATACATTGGGAAAGCCTTAAAGTGTTATTAAAATTAATTATTTCCTTGAACTGCTTAAGATTTGTAACACTCAAATTCACTCCTGGTTTTTCATTGTGATTTTTTTAAAGGGGAAAACCCCGCAATGCCGTAAGTTAAGAAAAGTCAGAACTCGAACTCTCCTGGGAACTTGGTCACATTCTTTTTTTTTCCCCACCCCAATCAACAGTTTCTAATGCACTTGAAAAATACTGGTGAAGTCCTTTGCCAAGGAATTCAACAATATGAAACTCAGGGACACCAGCAAGGAACTGACACCCAGCACCGAGAAAATGCTGCTTTTGTTCAGAGGCCGCCTGCGATAAAAACAGGAACTTTACAGAGAGCTGAGCTGATCGCCACAGCACATTCGCCTGATCACATGCCCATGGCCGGCACTGAGCTTCTCATTGTTGTCGAAGGGACTTTTCTAGTAACACTGCCTAGATTTAGTCCATGTTTGAAATTATCTAAATAAACCCAACCCTCCCAGTACCAATCCATTGTCAAAGGAAAGGGTGCTGGGCAGGATTTGCATGAAACCGGTAGCCACCTCTTCAAAGACTCCAAGAGGTGATCAGATGCGGAAACCCAGCCTGAATACAGGTGCCAAGAAAAAGCCCTGCTACCCCCCATGACAGAGATGGTCTAAGAGCGACAGCCTCGGCCGTCTCTCTGGGTGAGCGTCACTGCCTCCAACCTCCAACCTCGGACCTTCAATGGCCTCCCCGCTCCTTTCTCACGCCTGTCACTGGCGAGGCACCTCGCATTGTTAGAGGAGCAGGAAGAAACGCAGCAGCGGCGTTCCCCTGTGTCTCTCTCTGAAGGCAGGAGAGAGGGTGCAGACGTGCGGGCCCTTCAGGAGAAAGGCAGGGCAGAGGGGCAAGGTGTCGTGTCAGGCGGAGGGCGCAGCTTTGTCTCCAGCTGACCCGTCCCCAAGTCCTGCGGGCACCCCACAGGGACAACAATGAAAGCGCAGCCACGCTTCCCGGGTGGGGAGCGGCGAGCACCGCCGGCCCAGCCTCCCCGCAGGCCGCCGCCCGCTCGCCCGGCCCGCTCGCCCGGCCCGCCGCGCGCCTACCCTCCGACAGCTCCAGCTCCAGCTCAGCCAGCTGCGCCCGCACCTCGGGGGGCAGCGCGGCCACCGCGGCCGGCGACGGCTCCAGGCCTCGCTCCGCCATCGCGGCTCCGCCAGCCACACTCCGGAAGACGAAGAGGGGGCCGAAGGAGGGACGGACTGACGCGGGCCCACACCCCGGCTACAGGATCCGGCTCCAGCCGCCGAAAGCCGCCGGCGCTGCCGCTGCCGCCGCCGCCATGAGCTAGGGTCACGTGAGCGCGCGGTCCCGCCCCCGTCCCGGAGCAGGCCCCGCCCCGGAGGCGCAGCACGGTCGTGGCTACAGCGCACTCTGCCGCCGAGCTTCGGGAGTCGCCTAGGAATCGACGAGAGAGGATGCACCTGCCCAGGACACAGCACTCACCTTCCACAAACTCTCAACAAGGAGTTTCTCAGGAGTTAGCCTTAATTCTTCCAGCCCCTTTTCCGGTACGGTATGCCTCTGTTTTGTCCTTTCCCCCATTTTCCCTAATGGACCTGCAGAGGCCATGTCCTTCACCCACCAGTTTCTGGATTTTTTTTTTCGAGACAGGGTTTCTCTGTAACTTTGTAGACCAGGCTGGCCTCAAACTCAGAGATCTGCCTGCTTCTGCCTCCCGAGTGCTGGGATTAAAGGTATGCGCTATCACCCGCCTGGATAGTTACAACTTTTAAAACAAGAGAAAAATGGGCATCTCACACATGTAAATTCCAAGCACTCCAGAGGTGGAAGATTCAAAGTCGCTCTTTCCAGCCTGGGCTACATGAGACCTATCTCTAAACATAAGAAAAAGGATTACAGTAGAATTTGCTACATCTTGCCTTGACTCATAAAGACTTATATTAAAAGAAAAAAACAAACACTTAGTTGGGGAGTGGGGAGCGGGGACACAGTTCCCGTTGTTAGGAGCCACTGCTTTCACTGCTTTTGCAGAGGACCCATTGCCAGCACCCTTGTACTGCCTGTAACCTCAGCTAGAGGACCTGAAGCCTTCTGTGACCTCTGCAGACACCCACATACTCACACATAAACAAAGATTTGTTTGTTTTGTTTTTGAGACAGGGTTTCCCTGTGTAGCCCTGGCTGTTCTGTTTTGGTTTGGGGGTTTTCGTTTGTTTTGGGGGGTGTTTTGTTTTAGGTTTTTCAAGACAGGGTCTCTCTGTGAAGCCCTGGCTGTTCTGGAACTCACTCTGTAGACCAAGCTGGCCTCAAACTCAGAGATCCACTTGCTTCTGCCTCCTGAGTACTGCATCTCAGGGGTGACACCAAAATAATTATTCAAAGACATGTTGTTGGGTGCAATGGTGCAAGCCAGTTCCAGCCAGCCTTGTCTACATAGTGCTTTCCCAGCCAGCCAGGGCTACACCATGAAACCCTGTATCCAAATAATAATAATAATAATAAATCTAACTTTGCAGCCTTGGCTGTCCTGGAACTCTAAAGTGACAGAGATCTAATTTTCTCTGCTTCCTTCTGGGATGAAAGACATGTCCCAGCCATATTAGGGGGTGGGATGTGTTTGCTTTATCCTTTTAGCCCCCTTAGTATGTAACCTAGTATGTAGTTCAAAAAAGTACTAATTTTAATTTAGTATAAGGAAGGCCCGAACATTGCTGTATTCTTACCAAGAACTATTGAAATCTTTGTTTTACATTGTAATTTAGTCTTTATTTTTTGTAGAGTGTATATTATATTTTTTATTACTGAACAAACCATTCCCAATTTAAACATAACCAAATCTGCAGGTTAATAATCTTGATCTCCATCCATCTGGCAGATAGATCATGTTGACCATGATTCAGTACAAACTCTCAAGCCTGCTATTGTGTGACTCCTTCCTTACAGGACCAGCTTGGTTGTACCTGATTTTGTTACCGGTTTTCATCTGAATCCACTGAGGAATAGGACGATTTTGCTTTTGTTTCTTGGCCAGGAATTGCTTGATTCTGAAAGTCTTGTGAGAAGACATGGCGAGAATCTGAGTTAGGCGTGTGCTGCACGATGGTGGAGGAAAGGTGAAGAGCTGTAATTTCGCCTTTTGTTGATAGTATTGAAATTTTGCCACATAAACAACTGCTGTGGGATCTTTTCTTCCTACAGTCTGAGAGGCTCCTGGTGTTTCCCTCTTTTTCCATGTTGCTCCAAAATGGGAGCTGAGGGTGTAGCTGAACTGGGGGACTGTTTGCCTAGCATACAGAAAGCCCTGGAATCAATCTCCAGCATGACAGAAAGTGGGAGGGCTGGCTCCTGTTTGTAATCCCAGCTCGGGAGGCTGAGCTCAAAGTCAGGCTGGTCTACTTATTCAGTTCCAGGCCAGCCAAGACTTCATATTGAGCTGTTATCAAAAAATTACCATAAAGGAGGGAGGGATGGAGGGATGGAAGGAAATATGAAGTCATGACTGTTTAGTAGTGGACTTTGAGATTCCCTTTTAACTGAACTATATGGGCTACAGATGTAATTCGGTAGCAGAGTGCTTGCCTAGATAACACAGCAGCCAGGCCCCAAGACATACCAGTTTGCTCAGTTGTTCCTGTCACTATTTATGTGTGTATGTATTGATTGTGAGGGTATGTTTGCACCACAATGCCCATGAGGAAATAATCGGTTCTCTGCCACCATGTGGGTCAGGAGGTGAGACTGAGGAAGTGTCTTTCCACTGGAGTCATGTCACCAACCTCAGTTTACTAATCTCCAATTCATTGACACCTTCCATCAGGAAATGAAAGCCAGGGCTGAAAAGATGGCCCAATTCTGCCCTCGCATCTGTCCTCAACCCTGATGACTTTGAGTTCAAACCCAGCAAGTGGGAAGAGAAAACAAGCTCCCACAAATTGACTTCTCACCTCCACATGCACATCCACTCAATGCACGCACGCACACACACGCGCGCGCACGCACGCATACATACATACATACATACATACATATATATATATGAAAAAATTTAAGGAATGTGGTGGGAATTTAGAAGATACAGCTCAGCGGTTAAGAGCACTGTTCTTCCAGAGGACTCAGGTTTAATTCCCAGCTTCCATGTGGTAACTTAGAACCTTCTGTAACTCCAATTATTCCAAGGGATCCAATGCCCTCTTCTGACCTCTGAGGGACCAGGCATGTACCTGGTGCACATATATACAGGCAAAATACTCATACATGTATGAATATTTGTATAAATGAATATACAAATCTTAAAAAAAAATGTGAGGGGGCTAGAGAGATTGATCATCAGTTAAGAGCACTTGCTGCCCTTTCAAAGGCCTAGCTTTAGATCCTAGTGCCCACATCAAGCAACTCACAAACATCTGTAACTCCAGCTCTAAGGGATCTCTGGTGCTTCCTCTGCCTCCATGGGCATCCATATGTCCTGTGAACACCCAGACAGAAACATCAACTTATAAATAAAAACAAATCTTCAAGCTGGACAGTGGTAATACATGCTTTTAACCCCACTGATAGGGGAGGTCCTTCTGTATGCTGTGATTTTATGTTTCTCTTATTGGTTGATGAATAAAGCTGTTTCAGCCAATGGGCAGGCAGGATGTAGCCAGGCAGGAAGTATAGGCGGGGCTACCAGACTAGGAAATTCCGGAAAGAGGAACACAGAGAGTGAGTCTCGAGAAGAAGCCATGTAGCTACTGTGAAGATAGGACATCTGGACATTCTCTGGTAAGCCAAGATCACATGAAGATACATAGCTTAATAGAAATGGGTTAATAATTAAAAGAGAGCTAGCCAATATGAAGCCTGAGTCACAGGCCAAACAGTTTAAAATTGTTATTTGGGACTGAACAGCTGCAGGGACCAGGTGGGACAAAAACTTCTGGCTACATCCCAGCATTCAGGAGACAAAGGAGTAAGATCCGAGAGCACCACAGCAGTAATCCTACCACTCAGGAGGCTGAAGTAGGAGGGTGGCAGTGAGCTTTCAGCCAATCACAACTATAGTGAGTTCTTGAATCTGAAATCTGACTGAACATGTACCTGCTTTGACCAACAGGATGTGGCAATGGTGCCCTGGTGTGAAATACTTGGAAGTCAGTCCTGGAAGCCAATGCTGCTTTCATTAGTTCTCCAAGGGACCTCTCCCACAGCTCTCTGAGCAGTCACACACACACTACCCTGCCTCCTCTTCGTGAGCCACATGAGAGAAGACCAAGCCACAGGGAAAGGCACATGAGGTTCCACGAGTAGCAATGCCAGCTAACCCAACCCCTACCCCAGGCCTAAGAAGACTTCACCTAACTCCAGCCCAGGCCCTGAGAGTCTTTTGAGGCCCAGGCTCCTTGTCCAAATTCCTGTGATTTACTAAAATCCAGTTACTTGCGCACAGGAGCACAGGACACAGGGTGATGGTCTACTACCCAGCAGTAGATTATCAGAAGCAGGAGACACTCTTTATCCTCAAAAGCTCTACTTTCCTCTCAGACCAAACCAGCCACAAAAGAGGTTGAATACGCAAACACTCATCATGCAGCTGGCCTACAGCTTTGTGATTCTGGAGGGAACTATTCAACAGGCATAAGAGGATTTCCTCCCTGGTGGAAGATGTGCAGGAAAAACTGCCTGCCTGCGGCCTCCTTCCTGTCTGCTTTACTACATACTGCACCAGCAGACAGTTTGTGCTGGCACATAGGAGCAGCAAAGAAAAAGAGACCCATCACCTGAACGCCACAGAATTGGCCTGGGAAAACAACAAATCCTAGAACCACTTGCCCTTGAACTTCTTGTGATAAAAGAAACTAGGCTTAAATTGCATTTAGTATGCTGGGCCTGGTGGAATATGCCTTTAATAATGGCACTTGAGAGACAAAAGCAGGTAGATCTCTGAAGTTTGAAACCAGCCTGGTCTACATAGTGAGACCTTGTAACAAAACAGTAACAAAAACAAAACACAACAAAACCCCACAAAACAGCAACAAAACACAGAACTTAATTTCATTCAGTTGGATATTTTGTTATTTACACCCAAAACCTCCTTCCCATCTAATATTGGGTTTGTTATTTAAGAAAAAGAAAAGGGCCAGGCGTTGGTGTTGGTGGTGCACACCTTTATTCCCAGCACTCAGAAGACAGAGGCAGGCAGATCTCTGTGAGTTCGAGGCCAGCCTGGTCTACAGAGCTAGTTCCAGGACAGACTCCAAAGCAATACAGAGAAACCCCGTTTCAAAAAACCAAAAAGAAAAGAAAAAAAAAAAAGGAAGGAAGGAAGGAAGGAAGGAAATGGGATATT